TGATGTGTGTGTGTGTCACTGATGTAACTTACTGGTGCATGGCACTGGTGCATGCGATTGGCGCCTGCTAATAATCCTTGTTCCTTGCGTATGATGTTGATGCGTGCGTTCAACGTGTGTTGGTGATGTGTGTGCTGGGCGTGTATGAATGGTGTGGGCGTGTGCTGGCACCTGTCTACTAGATGGTGGTGGTGTGTGTGCTGCTGGTGTATGTCATCAACGCGTGTGCTAATACATGGCGCTAAAATATGTTACAAATGTGCGGCACTGATGTCAAATACTGCCACCTGCGTTTGGTTTACGGTACTACCGTTCGGTCTTGACCCGCGTTAGTGGTATAAGATCGTGCTGTGATTTCGGTGCGTGTGTTTGCTGCACGGTATGGGCACATGCTGATGCTGCATGGTGCTGGCAGGTGCGGTTGGGTGTCTGATTGCGGTTATTAGTGTGTTGTTGGTGAATGGAGTTGGTGCAGTTGCGGGTGTGTTTCCCCCGCCATCCCTTCTTTGGGTACTCGTTATGACTAGAGCACTGTGTGCCCCATCCTCCTTCTCCTCCCCCTCCGGCCGTCTCCTCCTTTCTTCCTCCTCTCCCTCTCTCCTCCCGCCTGCGTCCTGCCTCGTGCCCGCGGCTCGCTCGGCCGTTGTCGCTTGCGCAGCGGAGGTGCCGTGGGCTCCTGGGAGGCCCAGCGGAAGCGCGTCTTACGCAGATCACCATGAGACCTCGCCGTTCTCTGGGGGGGCTGCGATCTGCGAAACTGTCGCCACTTCCGTGAGCTCCTGGGCGCCCCAGCGGAGGTGCGTCTTACGCAGATCACCATGAGACCTCGCCGTTCTCTGGGGGGGCTGCGATCTGCGAAACTGTCGCCACTTCCGTGAGCTCCTGGGCGCCCCAGCGGAGGTGCGTCTTACGCAGATCACCATGAGACCGGGGGGCTGCGATCTGCGAAACTGTCGCCACTTCCGTGAGCTCGCCACTCTCGGAGGAGTCCTGGGCCCCAGCGGAGGTGCGTATTACGCAGATCACCATGAGACCTCGCCGTTCTCTGGGGGGGCTACGATCTGCGAAACTGTCGCCACTTTCGTGGGCTCTTGGGAGGCCCAGCGGGGGTGCATCTTACGCAGATCACCATGAGACCTCGCCGTTCTCTGGGGGGGTGGTTGCGACGTTGGGAGGTCCAGCGGTGCTGCTACCACGAAGTATGTCTCTAATCGTCTTTCCTTATTGTGTTGCCACACTCCCTCGTGGCCGCCTTCCTCCCAACGATCTGACTATAAGAGCGACGCCGCATATGTGAACATGTGACTCTGGACCGACGTTCATTCGCGAATCGTTCGAGGGCACGGCGGATCCTTCAGTGCTCGCTTTTGTTTGAGCGGTCCGATGTATAGTCGCCTCATGTGTACAAAGGATTGGGTACTTCCCTGGGTGAGTCATGATATATACAATGGGCACACGTTGCTGGTGACGGTCATACATGTGTGGTTTTGGTGTATGCCTCTGGGATGTGTCACTGGTGTGCGCGATTGGTGAGGGCCCGTGAAGTTTGGTATGGTTGTATGCGTTGTTGGCCTGTCTCGCCAAAGCATAAGACTGCTACATGTGCGAGGTGCCTCTTACTGATGCCTGCTACTGGTGAATGATGTAGATTGGAGTTGATCTGTGATGTTGGGATATGGCATCGACGCACGTTGATTATGTACATCGCTGCTGCATGCTGTCCACGCGCGCTCCCAGCGTAAGGTGTTTACGCACGTTATGTCTGTGTCACGTTGCTGTATGTGTGTGATGACTGTCGACGGCGTGACGTCGTGACGCCTGGACGGCGTTACATGAAGTTACGCCTGTTCTAAGTATATATATACGTGATTGTCCGTTACGTCGTCATTGGGCTCGGGATCTCTGGGATCTCCTCCTCCTCCTCCTCCTCCTCCTCATCCTGCTCCTCCTCCTCCCTCCCCCTCATCCTCCTCCCTCGCCCCTTCTCCTCCTCATCCTCCTCCTCTCCTCCTCCTCCTCCTCCTCTCCTCCCTCCTCCTCCTCTCCTCCTCCTCCTCCCCCCTCCTCCTCCTTCTCCCCCTCCTCCTCCTCCTCCTCCTCCTCCTCCTCCTCCTCCTCCTCCTCCTCCTCTTCCTCCTCCTCTTCCTCCTCATCCTCATCCTCCTCCTCCTCCTTCTCCCCTCCTCCCCTCCTCCTCCTCCTCCTCCTCCTCCTCCCCTCCCTCCTCCCTCCCTCCCTCCCTCCCTCCCTCCCTCACCCATCCTCCTCCTGAGGGGTCGGGTACCTCCTCCCTCACCCTCCCCCTCCCCCCCCCCTCCTCCTCCCGAGGAGGCCCGCAAACCTGAGGTGTCGGGTACACATTCTCAAAAATAGCAACCCGAACCTGTCGGGTGGAGAAAATCATGAGGCCAGTGACGGCGAGCGGGACTGGCGGAAAGATACCAAGGAGCAAGACCAGAGGGCCGCAGAGACTAAGAAACGAGAGAGGGAGTGCGAGAGCGAAAGAGGAGGAGGGAGGAGGGACGAAGGAGGAGGGAGGGCAAAGGGAAGAGGGATGAGGCAGGAGGGAGGAGCGAGCAGCGATGAGGCAGGAGGGGGAGAGGGGAGGAGGGAAGCTTGAGCACGGAACAGGCAGGAGAGGAGAGGGGCGGATGAAGGCGGTGCTCCTCCAGCACACGCTTGCGCTGAACGGCGATCTCCAAGGTCGAGATCGGTTTCCTGCAGGAAGGGAAACATCGGCACTAGGGGCTCCCGCTACCAACTCATGCGAAACGGGCCGTCAGACGGAGAGTACACGCGGGTGCTTGATGGCGCTAACAGCGTATGGCGAGGGCGAAGGCTTAGATTTACTCTCCGCTGCCTGAGCTGGTCGAAAATGGCGGCCGTGTTGCCGTGAACCCCATTCACCGCGACCAAGGAGTCCCCGATTCGGACACATTTTGCTGGGTTGTCGGTGTTCCACTTCATGACCATACCGATGTCCTTCACTTCTCTGACCTTCAAAGCCTTCCGAGACTGACAAAAACGTAAGCTGCCTTGGTGGAAATAGAGAAATTATTGGAAAAGACAGAGAGAGAGAGAGCCAAATACATAGATGATAAAGAGAGATATCGATATACTTATATATATATATATAGCGAGAGAGAGAGAGAGAACACGTAAATTTTAAAAAAATGGAGAGAGCACGACGTCTCAACAGCAATACACATGCGCACACATGAACAGTTATCCTGGCGAAAGACCCGATCATGTGCAGCTGTGGGTACCGCAGCTGTGGGTATCGTGCTCGGTGACCCTCTCTCTGGGGCCACGAAACGTGTGGCGGGTGTGTCAACGTGGGCACGGGTACACCATGCGGGCGCTGCCACTGGATCCGTCGGTGGAGCCCCCTGTGGGGCCATGAAACGTTTGAGGGGTGCGCCGACATGCAGGATGGCACCACATGCGGGCGCTGACGCTGGGGCCTTCGGTGGAGCTCCCCATCGGGCCACGAAACGTGTGAGGGGTGCGCCGACATGAACAGTGGAACCGCATGCGGGCGCTGACACTGGGGCTTTCGGTGGCGCCCCCTTTATGGGACAACGAAACGTGTGAGGGGTGCACCGACATTCGGGGTGGCGGGCGCTGCCACTGGATCCGTCGGTGGAGCTCTCCACGTGGCCACGGAACGTGTGAGGGGTGCGCCAACGCGTGGGTGAAACCGCTGCGGGCGCTGCCACTGGTGCCTTCGGAGGCGCCTCCGATGAGGCCACGAAATGTGTGAGGGGTGCGCCAACGCGTGGGTGAAACCGCTGCGGGCGCTGCCACTGGTGCCTTCGGAGGCGCCTCCGATGAGGCCACGAAATGTGTGAGGGGTGCGCCGAAATGGTGGGTGGAACCGCATGCGGGCGCTACCACTGGAGCCTACGGTGGAACCACATATGGGGCCACGAAACGTGTGAGGGGTGCGCCGAAATCAGAAAGGAACCGCATGCGGACGCTGTAACTAGAGCCTACGGTGGAACCCCCTATGGGGCCACGAAACGTGTGAGGGGCGCGCCGAAATCAGAAAGGAACCGCATGTGGGTGCTGCCATTGGGGCCTTCGGTGGCGCCCCCTATGGGGTAACGAAACGTGTGAGGGGTGCGCCGATATGGGGGGTGAAACCGCATGTGGGCGCTGCCACTGAAACCATCGGTGGAGCTCCCTATGAGGCCACGAAACGTGTGAGGGGTGCGCCAAAATGGGGGTTGTAACCGCATGTGGGCGCTGCCACTGAAACCTTCGGTGGAGCTCCCTATGGCGCCACGAAGCGTGTAAGGGGAGCGCCAAAATGGAAGGGTGGAACCCGCATGGAAGCGCTGTCAATGGCGCCTTCGGTGAAGCTTCCCATGAGGCCACGAAACGCGTGAGCGATGTGGCGAAATAGACACGCGGAGGGCAGAAGCAGGGATTGGAGGAGGAGGCAGCGGGAGGAGGAGAACGCGGGGCGCTGCCTCTTCAAAACGAGGACCCAACACCACAGGATGGTTGGGAAAAAGGAAAGAGAGAGAGAGAGAGAGAAAGAGAGAGAAAGAGGAAAAAAATAAAGAGAGGAAGAGACAGAAAGAGAGAGAGAGAGAGACAGAGAGATGACGGAAACGAAACACAAACAAAGAGGGCGGGTATACAGAGAGATATTGAGGGAGAGTGGCAACACACAGTGGAAAGAGCAGGGAGAAAGAAGGGAGAGAGGCATCACTGCAAAGCAGAAGCACGACTGCGGTGACATCTCTCGCAGCAGGGATAGGGGAAGACCCGACCAAAGCATAACAATGGCAACGCTAGAAGAAGGAGAACGGAGCAGGAAACCGCACACGGACGACGACGAACAACACCCGACGCCGAATCAACAGGAGCTGGCCCCAGCTGGGGCCTCAAGCTGACGAGCTGGGTCTCATCTACCTCCACGCCCTCCTCCGTGTCCCGCTCCAAGAGGCCTCCGAGGTAGGGTTTGAGAATCGCGCCGCATCGCCAATGCATCGCCCACGCATCGGCGATGCACCGGCGACGTCGGCGACGCATCGACGCCGTCGGCGTGGAGGAAGTCGGAAGCCACATCGAGCCGCATCGCCGATGCCGCGTGGTCCCCCAGCCCTATCGACTCGGACCCCACTCGGGAGACCTTGACACTCCTCCATCCCTTGTTCTTCTAGTAACTCCACCCTGTCATACCCATAAACGTGTCGGTGGGGCAAACGAAGCGTTGAGCTTGCGACCTCCTCACCATCTGCGATCCTGAAGCTTGAAGTTTGCAGCGGTTTCAAGGATGGTGGGCGGATGGTTTCCGAAAAGTGGATATGGCCTTAGCGCAGCGTGCATTCGCCTGAAAAGTTCGCAGCCGCTTCAATGGGGGGTAATTCCTTTTTCAACATGTGGCTCTCGCCATAGCGACGCGCACATGCGTCCTAAAAGTCTGCAAGAGTTTCAAAGATATAGGGCGACTCCTTTTTCGAAATGTGGCTATTGCCTCAGCGCCGCGCACATTTGTTTTGCAACAGCTTCAAGGATAAAGCGCAGTTGGTTTTCAAAGTGTGGTCCTCGCCTCAGCGCCGCGCGCATTCGTCTTTAAAGTCTGCAGCAAGTTAAGGATTCGTATGGCTGAAGTCCAGGGTGGGCATTCTAGCACGATTTAGGATTGCCAGGACGCAACGCTCACGCTGATTCACAATGAGGAAAAAAAGCACGAACGGTGTTTTGACACGATTCAGGATTGTCAGGACGCAACAGTCACATAGATTCGCAGCGTCGACATTCCAGAAATTGCGCTTGGGTCCGATTGAGGAGTCTCAGACGTATGAACATGGTGCACTTCCTGCAGTGACAACAAACGGTTGTAGTGACATGTTAAAAGGGAACGTGGAGGGTGAATTGGTTGCAACATCGCTGATGCGTCTTGGGTTCACCCTGGTCCTCCTCCTCCTCCTCCTACTCCTTCTCCTAATCATCCTCCTTATCCTCCCTCCTCCTCCTCCTCCTCCCATCGTGTTCCTCCGCTTCCTCCTCATTCCAGGCCCCTCGGACCGCGGTCCTAAAAGAGCTCCCTGCCCTCTCCTGGAGGCACTCGTGCTTGGGGGCTGCGTTTTCCAAGCCTCACGGGGGATATCCCGCCGGGCCCTCTCGGGGCCCTCCTCAAGCCTTCTGCGCCGAATGCGCCCGACCAGATCTCCGCCGTTGCCAACATCGAATGGCCAGCCCCTGGCGCGTGGCGATGCCAGCATGGTCGTTCGCTGCTCCGCAACTTGTTGCACACCGTCTTCGGTGCCTGAAGCCGCCTGCCCGCCCCTCGCCCGAGAACGAGATGTCGGATGCCGGGGCCACGACCTGGTTTTCTTGGGACCCGCGTGGGCCACCGCAGGGCCGACCTGAGCCATCGGCAGAACCAGCCGAAGGCGAAAGGGCCACCATCATTCTGAGGCCCAAGGGCCACTGTGGCGCCACCTTCGGGGGCCCTCGTGGAAGCCAACGCGGGCGATCTTGGGCGACATGTGGGGACACCTCGTGTCAGCTTAGGGCAATTTGGTGGCCTGCTTGGTGGAAGAAGCAAAGACGGGACGGGGGCGGCCGAACATCTCACCCGCACTGTCACAGATTGCGAGCACGGATCGGCGGATGAACTGTTCTGCCTGTTCATGTTTTTCTCCCGAACAGGCTGACAAGCTTTGAAATACACCCCAAAAAAAACACTCAGCAATCGGTCCAAGTCGCCTAATACGGCCGCAGCACCCCCATCCCCTGGGAGCGCCAAGATACCGGCAAGACGCTCCCAAAACGACTCAAGACCGCACCAAGATCGCCTCACGACGGCCGCAAGACTAGATCCTTCCGATCAGTTCCAGACACGATTCGCCAACCTCGGGCTGGCAGATCTCAATACTGAAAAAACACAGCGCCAAAAGCGACCCAACACCGTTGCGGAAACTCTGCAGAACCCTGGCGTAAGCATAAATCATTTTGGTACCATAGTGGAGCCATAGTCGAGTCATGGTAGCGAACAACGGTAAAAGGCATGGGACTAGCTTGATACTGCACTTGAACGGTGCAGCGAAAACTTGCCGCAAGCAGCTAGATAGCGGTAAAAAAGAAAGAGGTAGCACACCTAAATGTCTATGATCGAACAAAAACCCGCACTCCAAAATTCAACAACACACATAATTACGAGGCCGATTGAGAACCATGTTTTCGATGGACACGTCGACGCCCAGGACGTCATCAGCGCGTCGCTTGGCCAAGAAAATCGTGAACACCTCCGACGTCTCGCTGGACGCCTGAACAGAAGACAAAAGAAACACGAGAGACGCAAGCATGCAAAAAGATAATTCGCCCCATGCGGGCAACGCTTCTTTCACTCCTCATGAGTGGCCGACAGACCTCCAGGAAGCTACCCCGCATTGGGCGTGATAAGAAAAGAAAAGAGCGAGACAAGAAAAAGGAAGACCCAAGACAGCGCGACGAAAACGAGACAGCGTCGCAAAGGAAGACAGACAACCGCGAGAGGCAAGGCAACGAGGCCCTTCACCCTCCTCCTCCTCCTCCTGCTCCCCCTCCCGCGCGCTCGAAAAGAGGAGGGAGGAGGAGGAGGAGGAGGAGGAGGAGGAGGAGGAGGAGGATAAAACGAGTCGAGCTTAGAGAAAAAGCACAATTCTCGACGCGCATGTGTCGTCCACGCGCGGGGGCCACCCTCATCGTCTCTGCATCTCCATCGACCACGGGTGATTCCCAAAGCGCCATGCTGCATGCGAACCGGAAACACAACGTCGCCGGGCTCACCAAAGCGGACACACATTAAAACCTGCTCCCCTAAATAAAAGCCGTCCACTTCATGCCAGAAGCGGCAGCGACGGAATTAGAAATTATCACATAAATCTCCGACCGCAGCAAAGAGCCAGAGAAATCAGCGCCAACGCAAAGCACAAGGGCCAGCGGCTCACGGTGACACGGGCGACATACGGACATCGGCGCCTGCGCAGGACAAACTCAGGACCACGGACCCTCAGAACAAGGCCGAACCGAAAACAGAAACTGCCACAAAAGCCTCAAAGACGGACGAAACCGAACCACGAAAGAGATCATCTCTGGCACAAGGTAAGCACCAGGGCAGGGGGGGGACACTTGGGAACATGGCCGAACCACCGAAACAGGCGCGCAAGGCAAAAGCCAGCAAGGCCAGGGACACGGGGACAGGGCCGAACCACGAAAAACGGAAAGAAAGGCAAAGCACCAAAGATTGGAACACTCGAAAGGAAGGTCGAATCACTGAAATCGGAGAAGGCGCAAAACAAGCACCCAAGGCCGGGGACACTCAGAGAAAGGGGCAAGCATCATGTTCAAAGTCACTGGGGAATCGAACCCAACCGCCGGGGTCAGAGCTGACGAAAAACAACCACCAGGGTCGAGGACACTTTGGGACAGGATGTAGCGAAAGTATCGGCACTACCACAAGGTCAAAAACAGCATTGGAGGCACTCGGGCACAAGGCCAAACGGAAATCGGCGCCAGCGCAGGGCAAGCACCAAGGCGGCCAAGAACTCAAGAGCAAGGCCAAACTTCGAAAGTACGGAACACCGCGAGGCGAACTCAAAGACAAGCGACATGCGGGGACAGGACGGAACCACGGACATCGGCGCAAGTGTTGGGAAAACACCAGATTCACAGACACTTGTTTTTGGTGGATTCTTTTAGACGGGGATGAATGTTCCGATTCGGGGAACCGGTTCCTTTTCGGGAAACTGGAGACATCACGCGTTCACCGTCCATTTCAAAAAAAGAACCATGTCGGGGAACCGCCAAAACCACCATTTCGGGAAACTGGCCCTTTCGGGAAACCGGTCAATCCTGACCTTCACCGAACACACCGCGGTTCCAGTCCAGATCGGAAACCCGTTCTACATAGCGTCTGCGGATGCCTCACAATCTGCTACGGACCACTCGGATCCCCAGCAAGCCAAAAAATTATCCACGGAAGCCGCTCTTTCATCTAGCCCCAAAAAAAAGCTTTTCCTGCGGAGCCACTCGGATCCGAACGGATCCAAATAGAAGTCCTCAGGGACCCCGAGCAGAACCGATCGGACCCCTGGGAAGCCCGAAATCGAAGAGGCCCCCGCGATTCTTAAAGATCCTAGCGGCTCCCCAAGGGAATCCTCGTGATTGCGCGGAATCCGAAGGGCTCCCAAGAAAGTCATCGCGGTTGCTACGGACCCGAACGGCTCCTTCTTGTGGCCAACGGTTCGCAAGTTTCCCAGCGAAAAAAATCCTCCGCAAAAAACCATATAAACTGGATGTCCGATCTGCACCGATTGCAAGAAATCCCATGTTCTGACGTATTGGTTCCAGGATGTGGCCGGCACCCTGCCGGTTCCCAAAGAGAGCTGGTTCCCTGATTTGGCCGGTCAATAAGTTCTCCGCGCAAAGGCCGGTTCGTCCCCCATGTAAGCCAGTTCCCTAAATTGCAAAAACACTATGTGTTACTATTCGTTGCACCGATTGTAGTGTATACTGTGCGTATGTGCGTTGCTGAATTGATTTTGGGAATATAAAATATAATCGTTTTTTTATCATGTTCAGTATGTTCCACTGGTATATGTCACAATAAGTATGCCATTATACAAAACGAATGAATATAAAACAACGTTGTTCCAAAACTGTAACTAAATACATGTATACAGTCGTACGCGACATCTACATATACCTATAAACACATACAGATTCATCTACATACCCGTGCACACGTTTCTACATGAAAATATCGCGTACACATATACATATACATATACATATACATATACATATACATATACATATACATATACATATACGTATACACATACATATATAGATGCACGTGTATATATATATAAATATCTACATATATATATTTATATATATATATATATATATATATATATATGCACGTACACCTATGTATATGTTAATATGCATAAGTCAACACGAAGCGCGCGTGCTGACTGTCAATATGTGTATACACATTTTGATCGATACATGTGTCGTGTTGTTGTTGTGCGTGTAGAATTATACATATGTACGTTTAGATGTACAAGTACAAATATGTCTGCTGTACTCACATGTACATATGTACAGATCGGCATGCCAACACGCATGCATGTACATACATACAGACATACACACATCCACACACACACACACAAACAGACATACATATATATATATATACACACAGATTCCGTGACCATCGCCGCACGAATTGGTTACTCCCTGGTCCCGCGCGTGATCGGATTGTGACGGCGATGTCGCGCGGTCGAATGTTGGTTTCGAAATGAGAACTACATGGGCCTGTCAGGAAAACTCTTGGGGCCTCTTGGGGGCCGTTCGGGCGCCTCTGGGGGCCGGCCTCTCGCGGGCCTTCCAGCGGCCTTTTCGGGGCCTCTCGGCGGAGTACTGGCGGTTTCGGGAACCCAATCAGTGGGGCGGAGGGCTCGAATCCCCCATTCGAATCCCCCTTTTTGTAAAGGGCCATCTGAAGGCCATCCGGAAGCCCGCTCGGGCGCATCCTGAGCCGCATCGGGGCCCTCCCAGGGGCATCTCGGGCCGTCTCGGGGCGATACGCGAAGCCTCTCGGGCCGCCCACGACGCCGCGAAGCCTCGAAAGTCGCGCGCGCTAATAGTGCGCGTGTTTTTGCATGGGGCTGGGAATTTTGCCTCTTGGAGCTACTTGGAAGGGCTCTTCGAGGCCTCTCGGGGCGTCTTGCAGGGCGCTCAGGCGTCTCGAAGCCACGCGGGGCGACTTGGACCAATCGCTCGGCGAGCCCTGTTGGGCCATCTTAAAAGCTTCTCAAAGCCCACACGGCCCGCGCTGGCACCTCGTCGCGGCGCTCTGGCGGGGCCGCCACAGGGCCCGCAGCGGCGCTCGCGCCAGAGCTGGCCAGCCGAGCCCGATATCGACGCCGATCCGGTTCTCCACGTGCACACGCACCCACTGCATTCGCACAGCTACATATGCATGAATTTGTGCGTGCGTGCTATATATATATATATACACACAAGAACCTACCTTATCCGATTCTCGGCCGCGATGCTCTGGGATTTTTCGCCGGGTCACAAAGATCATGAATATCCTGTCGGGTTTGATGGGTCTGTCAAGGGCCGCCGCCGGTCTCCGATCCCTCATGCTTCAGGAAAAGTTGCTATGGACCCTGGATGATTCCAAATGATCCCTTTGGAACCACGTTAGTTCCAATGATTCGCATTGACCCCTGGTGATTAGATTGCGACGCATTGATTCCTACTGATTCTGACTGATGTCATGCAGTTCCTCTTCATGCGCACGAGTCCCGGTTGATTCCCTTTGATTCTTTGATTGCTACGAGTTCCAAAAGATTAAACATGACTCCCACTGGTCTCTGCGCATTCTTGATAATTCCGAATAATTTTTCGTTTGTCCGATTGATTTCAAGTTATTGATTTCTCTGAACTGCCATTCTGGTTGGTTCCTATAAATTTCCGATTAGTCTCAATTACTTTGGGGAAAGAGAGAGAGAGAGAGGGGGCAAAATAATAGGAATAGAGCGAGACCGAGAGAAAAAGAGATAGGAAACAAAAAAAGCCGTGGAGACAAAAGAGTGTTTTCACTTATTTTTTAAATAAAATAAAAAAATCATATGACTCCGATGTTTTAATTGTTTTACCTCGCGACAGCAATGCTACCCCACGCGATCTCGATAGCTCAACATCGTTCAAAAATTGCACGGCGAACAGTCGAAGGCGTGGAGGGTGGCAGCAAGCAAAACCAAAAACATGGATTTGCCCATGAAACGCTTGGAGATATATATATATATATATATATATATATATATGTATAATCATATAATATAATATATATTTTTTGATTTTTTAACATGCCTGAAGATCACTGCCAAAAGCATAGCCAGAAGCGAAAGAGAAAAAGAGAGAGGGGAGAGGAAAGAAGGAGGGGGAGCGAGGAGGACGAGAAAGAGCGGGGGAGCGCCGAACGCGCGTCGATAAACCCCTGCTGCGCTCCGCGCAGCGCACTGGACCGGAGTGGACGAGAGGGCGAGAAGGAGCGGGCACGAGAGGGAAGGGGATGGGGGGGGACAAGAAGGAAAAGCAGAGAACACGGGCTAGCCTCGCCAATTGCGACACAGGCGAAGCGGGTGGGAGGCAAAAGAGACGCGAGACGAAAACGTCGAGCTTCACTCTCCGTTGGTTGCCGGTGGCCCGCGCGGCGAGAAGGCACTGAAGTCGCCCTTGGAATCGCGACGCAGACGTAGCGCTGACGACGAAATCTGGCAACAGGTTGCACACGCGCGCGATCTGGCGAATCGAAGGCGGATTGCTCCAAGTGCCGCCGGCGCCGCCCGGGGGCCCTGGGGGGAGGAGGGAAGGGAGCGAGACGGAAGAACCGGGAGAGGCAGGGTGGGCCGAGACCCAACACTGCCCTGTGGATCACGCCGAGAATGCCAATGTCCCGCCTTGCACTTAAAAGG